ATACGACTACCAGAGGGCTAAGTGCGAAGATCCAGAAGTTATTAATGGCTGGTTTGAGCTTGTGCGTAACACAATTGCGAAATATGGTATCGATGAAGCAGATATCTACAACTTTGATGAGACTGGGTTTATGATGGGCGTTATCTCAACTGCTATGGTTGTAACAAGCTCAGACGGGCGGGCAAAAGCAAAGAAGGTACAGCCTGGTAATCGGGAATGGGTTACAGTAATCCAAGGCGTTAGTTCTCAAGGTTGGGCAGTACCACCATTTATCATTGTTGCAGGCAAAAACCACCTTACATCTTGGTATGAGAATAGTGGATTTTCAAGCGATTGGGTGATTTCTGTTACTGAAAATGGCTGGACTACAAACGAGAGAGGCATGGATTGGATTCAGCACTTTGAGAAGCATACAAAGGCCCGGAGTGTTGGTGGTTATCGCTTGTTAGTCCTTGATGGTCATGAGAGCCACCACTCAGATGAGTTTGAGGAGTACTGCAAGGAACACAACATTATTACGCTTTGTATGCCTGCTCACTCTTCTCATCTACTCCAGCCACTTGATGTTGGCTGTTTCGGCCCGTTAAAGCAGGCCTATGGTCGGCAAATTGAAGATATGATGCAGGCTCATATTTCTCATATTACAAAGGATGACTTCTTTCCTGCCTTCCACGCTGCATTTAACACTACAATGACGGAAAGTAACATTNTATAACGTACATGTATAGCGAAAGCGCCAAACAAGCGAAAGCGCCAAAATGATGCGGTGACCAAACCCCCCAACTAAATGTTAAATTCCTCAACAACAAAACATGCCCCATAAAAACGATGAAAGCCAATTAGTGCTAGCTATCCAGGCTATGCAAAAGCGACCCAAAGTTACGCCTTCGAGTTGCTGCTAGGATCTATTCTGTGGACCACCGCAAGCTAGGTCGTCGTCTAGAAGGTGTACCTTCACGACGCGATATCCAAGCCAACTCACGGAAATTAACTAACCTAGAGGAGTCCGTCCTTGTTCAGTATATACTCGACCTAGCTGCCAAAGGGTTTCCTCCTCGGCTGTCTGTTGTTGAAGATATGGCAAGTCGACTACTTGCAACACGCGACGCGTCAAGCGTTGGGTCGCGTTGGGCTTCAAACTTTGTTAAGCGGCGTGTAGAGCTCCAGACACGCTTTCAGCGCAAATACGACTACCAGAGGGCTAAGTGCGAAGATCCAGAAGTTATTAATGGCTGGTTTGAGCTTGTGCGTAACACAATTGCGAAATATGGTATCGATGAAGCAGATATCTACAACTTTGATGAGACTGGGTTTTATGATGGGCGTTATCTCAACTGCTATGGTTGTAACAAGCTCAGACGGGCGGGCAAAGCAAAGAAGGTACAGCCTGGTAATCGGGAATGGGTTACAGTAATCCAAGGCGTTAGTTCTCAAGGTTGGGCAGTACCACCATTTATCATTGTTGCAGGCAAAAACCACCTTACATCTTGGTATGAGAATAGTGGATTTTCAAGCGATTGGGTGATTTCTGTTACTGAAAATGGCTGGACTACAAACGAGAGAGGCATGGATTGGATTCAGCACTTTGAGAAGCATACAAAGGCCCGGAGTGTTGGTGGTTATCGCTTGTTAGTCCTTGATGGTCATGAGAGCCACCACTCAGATGAGTTTGAGGAGTACTGCAAGGAACACAACATTATTACGCTTTGTATGCCTGCTCACTCTTCTCATCTACTCCAGCCACTTGATGTTGGCTGTTTCGGCCCGTTAAAGCAGGCCTATGGTCGGCAAATTGAAGATATGATGCAGGCTCATATTTCTCATATTACAAAGGATGACTTCTTTCCTGCCTTCCACGCTGCATTTAACACTACAATGACGGAAAGTAACATTCGAGGCGGGTTCCGAGGGGCAGGGCTTTCTTCCATTTGACCCTGAGAGAGTGATATCTACACTTGATCTTAAGTTAAGGACACCAACGCCTCCAAGCTCCCGCCCAGGTACTGCTCAACCTTGGGTTTCTCAGACACCAAACAACCCAATTGAAGCTATGTCACAGTCTACATTTATTAAAACTCGGATTTCACGCCATCAAAATAGCTCTCCAACCTCAATCTATGCAGCTGTTGACCAGTTTACAAAGGGTGCATCGCAAATAATGCATCAATTAGCACTGCTAAAGGGAGAGAACCAAAACCTACGACAGGCAAATGAAGTACTAAGCAAGCGCCGGAGAGCTAGGAAAACACGACTACAGCAAGGAGGATCACTTAGTCAACAAGGGGCGCAAGAGCTACAGGATGAGAGGGATGTTGTGCAGCAGGTAGAGCAGGAAATAAGGGCAAGCCGTGGTCGGAAGCCAAGGGAAGAAACCCGTGCCCGTCGCTGTGGCAAGTGTGGTGAGACTGGGCACAATGCGCGCACGTGTCAGATTGTAATAGACACCTCTGAGGAAGAGGACTCCGAGTAGTTTCAATTGATTTCTAATGTTGTGGTAGATTTATCGCAATGTTTGTCATGAGGGTAGATAATTTTGGCGCTTTCGCTTGTTTGGCGCTTTCGCTATACATGTACGTTATTGGAAAATAAATCAATCTTGATTTCCAATTCTAGCTACTATAGCTAGGCGCTATTTACAAATCCCTGCTACTAGTGCTCCTATAGAGAGCCTTTTTAGTATAGGTAGCCTTATTATTTCAAAGATTAGAAATAGGCTTTCTAAAGACATTTTTAGAGTAATAGCTTGTTTAAAGAGTTGGGTGTCATACTGACATTCGTTGCACTCAGTTTGCTATCAAACTCAAGAGCAAACTTGGAAATGCCGGTAGTTGAAGTAAATAAAAATGAAGCTCTTTTAAAATGCCATTGAATTTTTAAATGAAAACCCAACAGAGAAGAGTGCTACAGTAGCACGGATGTACAGAGTAAACCGAAGTACGCTCCGGACTATACGACTACGACAACGACGCGCATCACCACAATGCACCGCTGTGCCACGCGGAGGCCAGAACAGAGTACTGTCTGATGTACAAGTTACAGCTATACAAAGATACATCCAACGCTCGTACGAAAATGGGTACGGTGCAACTAAGCCTATGGTGTTCAGTGCCATCTGCCAACTACGTGGCAGCAGAAACTCCAACACGTGTACCACCATCACAACGGTGGTTTCCAGACATGGATTAAGACACAACAACACAACTTCCATACAATAAAAACCCGGCCAATTGAAGCAGCACGGGTTGCATCTCATGAAGTATCAGCTATTAAAGAATGGTTTTATGAATTTAAAGATGTGTGTAATCAACTAGATATTACTGCAGGTGATATCTACAACTTTGATGAAGTTGGATTCCGTGTAGGAATGAGCACCGGTGAACATGTGTTGGTACCATCTGCAGTAAAGGAGGTAAGTTGTTTTCTACTTATCTTACTTTATATTATTCTAATATTTATAGCTTTATATACAAGCTCCAGAGAACAGACAAAGTCTTACAGTTATAGAGACAATTTCAGCTGCTGGCATTGCACTTCCACCGTTCCTTATTATACAAGGAAAATTACACATGGAAAGTTGGTACCATGACAATCTAACACGGTGATGAGAAAGTTGCAGTATCCGATTCCGGATATACAAACTCTGAGCTTGCAATGGAATATCTACAGCATTTTATTCAACATACACCGTCTATAAGAACGAAATTGTTAATAATGGACTCTCATGTCTCACATGAAGTTCCAGAGTTTATAATACTTGCACATCAACACAATATACACTTACATGTGTTTTTCGTCTCATCTTACGCATATTCTACAACCGCTAGATGTTACTGTGTTTGCACAATATAAACATTGGCACCGACGTGCAATTCAACAAGCAATCCGGAATTTTGATACAGATTATAATGTTATATCTTTCTTTAGAGACTTGTCTACTATCCGTAAGCAGACATTTACAAAGGGTAACTGTATCAAGTCTTTTAGAGATGCAGGTATTTGGCCACCTAACTATGAAAAGATTCAAGAGAAGGTTGCTATATATGCAAAACCAGAAGTTTTAGAAACACCACAACGCGCATTTCAAGCAAGTTATGATCTTTCAACATGGAGTCAAACATTTGATAAGATCCTTAGTTCACCGTCACGGCAAAAGTGGGCGTCTTCTTATACTGAAATCCAAACTCAGTTAAACAGAGGCTGAGCTGTTCCAGTCAGAGCTTGTACAAATTACTACTATTATGACTGAGCAACGACAGCGGAAGGTTAGAAGTCGGAAATCTATTCAAAAAGGTGGTGCTATTACAGTTGAAACATGCACGGCAAAGGATTTATGAGAAGAAGGTAAAGGAGCAACTTTTAGAAGAAGCACGGGAGAAAAGAGAGAGAACACGCATGGTGAACGTTGAGCGTAAGATGCAGCTCCGTGCTGGCATCGATGCACGGAAGGCAGAACGTACACGGAAAAAGGACCTACATGAATTTCAAAAAAGTAACCCAGACACGGAGCCACCAATTGGCTTACGTACAGAAATCATTGACCCGGACGTTACACAGAAGAAACGTGAGGAGGAGGAGGAGGCGGACCGACTGTTAGCCATCGAGGAGAGTGGGTACGTGAACTTTGCAGGCTTGGACTACGACATGATTCACGATGCAAGTGACGGTGGCTGTGATGATCAATCACTGCCTGACAATATTGATCCAAATCTTTTTTAATTATTTAATTCTATAACTTATATATATTTACAGCATTGTTACGTTGTCAGTCGTGTTCATGGTCGGTCGTGTCGCGTCGCGAGTCCGCTCCCGAAGTGTCCCACAATCGCTTTCGCGTCCCAGTTCGCTTTCGCCAACCGCCTCCAGGCGGTGGTTTGAGAACCAACGATTATACAGTCAACTCCCGTTAAGTCGATACAATTGGTGACACGTGTAAATATCGTAAAAGTGAAAATATCGTTATATTGAAATGCCAAGTATTATGTAATCCACCTATCTAATGTCTCCTAAACAGTCCGTCCGTATGGATAGTACACATCTTTGTAGGGAGATTTGCCGTACTCATTAGGCTCTTAAATCGTACACCCGCACTTAAGCCACAGGCAGTGCAAGCGAGCCAAGTTTTCGAGATGGTACTGTCGCGACAAGCTTTTACAGAACGATAAACTTCTACAATTGTGAGCCCTAGTGTCCATACGGAATTCCGCTTTTTTATCGCCGCCGTCATCACCACGAGAAGCGCGCATGTAATACCCGGCTGAAGCGCGAAGATATATAGAGTGGCGCGGTGAGAGTATGATAACTGGGCGAAGACCTTAATAGCGGCTCAGACGATGGCGGCGGATGGCGGTAACGGCACATCAGAGGCTGGTCTCTATCTCCATTTGCCAGTCTGTACAATTGAGTGTTTCGAGCTCGTACTATATTTGGACTTTCTGGATTACTGAGGCTCGCTGTCCTGTCGCGTTACCTGGTTAAGCGCCCAACAACACCCTAGCAATACGGAGATTGCAGCGCCAATGTTTTGCACGGCGCTTTCGCAAAGTCCACACTGAAATATGTATTCTGCCAAGCAATATTCCGCTATGGCGTGTGGGTATTGGGCGTGTCAGCGGACTGCTAAGGCGGTGTACGCCCTTGTCCTCCGTATGCACGCAGTAGGCAAACCTCGAACTCCAACATATCCAACATAATAAGATTGCTTTTCCATGTTATGTCTTAAAATAGCAGAATCGCACAAGTATCGCCTAGTAAGCCTCATTCTTCCTTTTCCTGCTTTCTCCTCTCTTGCATCCATATTTGTGCGTCATGCTCTTGAAGTTGTAGTGTTGATCGCCCAACACTGCCAGTTTCAGAGGTTTCCTACGTTCCTGTTGTCTGTAACACTGGAACATTGTTATCATGTCCTCACATATTTCCAAGGCAATTATAATAGCCATAATTTTCTGCCGGAAATCTGCAGCACTCCCAGGTCAGACTCAAATCATACCTTGGTCATCAAATAGCTATGGTCCAGATGGGCCATGGCAGGCCGTTAATATTCGCATCGGTACACCATTACAGTCCATCGACCTTCTCCCTGGCGGATCTTGGATGTCGAATGTGCTAGCATCTTCACTTTGCGCAACTAGTTCATCATGTATTGCACAATCAGCAGGTGTATACGATAATTCAAGCTCATCAACAAACTTCGAAATTGGGCAAACAGGTTCCATAGAAAACTCAACCTTCTCTCATACTGTTGGAGCTCTACCGACAATATTTGGGTCTGCTCACTGGATGTTCGATACAGCGGCTGTGCCGGTCAGGGAGGGAGCTTCTGGGGATTCGTTCACTGCGATTATTCAAGATTTCGACATGTTAGTTGTTTCAGACGGTCACGAAACACTGCCAGACGGATCGACATATCCCTTAACAATCGGAAAATTAGCCTTGGGAGCACCTGAGTTCAATCAATCATGGAACCATTTCCCTCCGAATCCTCGATGGAACGGCACATTCATAACAAGTAGTATGTTCGGAGAAGGTCGGACTCCATCAAACTCCTATGGAATGCATATTGGCTCTGCAGCCTTTGGGATCCCTGGATCCTTGACTATCGGTGGGTATGACCAAAGTCGAGTCCTTAGCCCAGTCTCGAGTCAACCATATGCTATTGATCACCTGCCAATTGACCTCTTGGATATTGGTATCGGCGTTGAAGATGGAGCGTCGCCTTTCGACTTTTCGTCCCAAGCATGTCTGCTTGCGTCTGGAAACTCGTCAATAAGAAACTCGATGCAAGTAGCAGTGGATGCTACTGTTCCTTATCTTTACTTGCCCCAAAGTACTTGTGATTCTATTACGAAGAATCTTCCAGTGACTTTTCAACCCAAGTATGGGCTTTACTTCTGGAATACAGCCGATCCGCAATATAAGATGATCGTCTCCTCGCCATCATATCTGAGCTTCACATTTCGTCTCAGCAGCTCTGTCTCACAGAATATAACAATCAAGGTCCCCTTTTCTCTTCTCAACCTCACCTTGACATCTCCAATAATAAGCACGCCTACGCTGTATTTTCCTTGCTTCCCTGGACTGGCCCCGCGCGGCATATTTTCTCTGGGCCGTTCATTCCTACAAGCTGCATTTATAGGGGTTAATTGGCAGACAGGTAAAGGAGTCTGGTATCTTGCGCAGGCTCCTGGGCCTAATACTCCGACAACTATAGCTCCGACCGCAATTCAACCTACGGACAACTCAATTATATCTTCTACAACGGACTGGGCGGACACATGGAGTGGGTTTTGGACAATCTTGGATAATCCCACCTCAGCAAACACCAGCACTGTACCCTCCGGCAATACGGCCCAGTCTGGAGGTAAACTCTCAAAAGCGGTGATTGGGAGTATTTGTGCAGCGGCGGCAGCTTGTTTGATCGCAGTCCTCGTCGCAGGGTACCTATTATACAAGCGACGTAAAGGGAAGCCTGCAGAGCCAAATCCTACTTCAGCAGCACATCATCATGTACAGAGCCAGGAAATGTCTCCAGAGAGCGAGAAGTATACAAGCTCTGTGTTTGGGCCGCAAGAGTTATTTACAGAGCGTGCGCCTAGGGAAATGTATGCTCAGACGGGAATGAGCAGTCCAGTGGAGATGTATGCTCCAGTAAGAAGATAATAAGTTGTCCAATAATAAGTGCGAAGCGCATATTTGGCTGCGATGAAATGCAGTTGCAGATAAATATATATCTATAATTATTTATCAACAGCGTTCATTTGACCATAGCTGCCCTGTAGCACAGAGGGATATAAGTCTTACCCTATGTCCGCCATTGACTGGACAACCTTACCTTTTCGCTTGTGTCTCTGCCACTTACAGGGACTTGTTTGTGTATGTGGAAAACGTCACCGACATTTAAGTTGTTGAGGAGTTGTACGTCGTACTATCTTCAGCCGCAAGTCTCGATTGAGCTAAAGCGGGATGCATTGATACAAGGTGAATCCCCAGTCCATCTGATAGACACCATGTACCTCATCGATTATTTTCTTGAACCTCAGCCTCTACAAATTGAGCATTTCTTTGAGGCTGTTCGCATATATTTCGTAGTCCGTACCAAGACAGGCGCTTGTGAACTAGCTCTCGGCCTCGGATTTGCGGAAAGGGGGAGAGTGGGCGGGGAGGACCGGAACGGGAGCCGGCGAAGCGACGTGCTTCACAGCCCGATGTGGTCCCCACAAAGCAAAGCGTGCGCCACGCTGCATATCCTCGCGGCAAACAAAACACAAAAACACAGGCGACAGGGCGATGATGCACCACCAACAACACAGAATGTATCAGTCCACGCTCATTCCTTTTCTTTATCGTCTTTGAGTTATTTGCGAACGTCTTGATGTTTATTACTGCCGATTTGTTTTAGATATCCAACAGCCATGATCCAGCTGCCTCGAGGTGTTCGTCGAATACATATCGCCCTTGTCTCCTGGCTGCTTATTGCAGTTTGGATTTGGCTCGCATTTGATCAGCTATACTATTTCTTGATCGCACTCCTTGGAACATATTCTCAAGCGAACCTCACTCTTTCCTACGAAATCCGACTACTAGCGATGCCTTCGACTTTGCGCCGATCGAATCCGAGGCAATCAAGAGCATCTGCGCGGATACAGAATGGAAGGAAAACATCGTGTTCACCTGCAACGACAGTGTGGGAGGCATTGGCAACATCCGCAACTCGATCTTGAATTGCGTTCGCTACTCCATTTTGGCAGGAGGTTCCCTCGTGGAGCCCAAGATCGTGCTCCGCAACGAGTCAGACACTGCAGCAATACGCACAGGGATAGGGGCTGAGTTCGAATATATGTTTGATCGGCAGCACTTTCGCGAGTCCCTCATGCTCTCCTGCCCCGGGCTTCGTCTATACGATACAGTTGAGGATATCAAAGGGAAGACATTCCACGAGCCGATAGCACTGCACCCCGAGTCGCTCGCACCTGATGAAAAATTGGAACCTGAAAAATGGAGGGGTCTATTCTATAACTGGCTTGGGGAACATATCAGTGATATGTTTGACAACACTGTGGTCATCAAACTTGAGAGATCGTACTTGTCATATCCTATATACACCGACGGCGATGGCTTTGCGACGAGTTTTGGGAAGATCCTCAAATTCCGCGCTGACATCAGCATTCTAGCGACAAAGACTCTATTAAAGCTTGCTGAGAGATATTCCTATGATATCGATCTTCTTAAACCCATTCTTCCTAATTTCTTCCTTGGTGTTCACCTTCGCACCGAATATGACTCGCAGCAGGGTTGGCCGGTTGGCGACTGGGTATACAGCCGATATGAGACGCAGTCAAGACTATATTTGGAGCAAGCAAATTCCTCGAGCACATCTCATATCTATGTGGCATCTGGGGACCAAGAAGAAGTCGCGAAGTTTAAAGTTGATGCGGCAGCATCTAATATCACAGTCACGACGAAGTTTGATTTACTGGACGAAACGGACAAAGCGACGCTAAAGATGTTGTCTTGGGATCAGCAGGGCATGGTGGATTTTCAAGTCATGACAAAAGCATCGGCTTTTGGAGGCATTGGGCACTCGAGTTTTGCGTGGAATATCGCTTTACTTAGGCATAAGTATGCCGAGAGGAAGGACCACTTGAGCGGGCCCCAGCTATTAAGTGATGAGCTGAGCCAGATCTATGGGAAACCTTACCAATACCCAGAGTACGCGAGATGTTTATGGCCTTAAAATGTTGGGAATCTATAGAAATCAAGGGTCTTGGACGAACTGTGCTACGGAATTTAAACCCAGTAAGCCCAACACGAAGTTGTTATGGATTCATCAGTCTTCCGATGTGCGTGTCACTTGGATACAGGCAGCGTATAGAGAATATGGTATATATAATATTGCAGTATTTCATTCAGATCCAGCCGCCTACAGTCTGGGTTATTTCATGAAATGAGGACTTGGCGATTAGTTATATAGACTAGTAGATAATGCAATAATTTTCTTGCCTGATTAGATTGTTACTGGTTGAGGGCGGCCGCTGTGCACCTGCAACCTTTGGAGCTAGATGCAGTAGTTTCCTGAGGTAGTAAATATATTACCCGTACTGAGAGAAGCTCAGTTGGTGATTATAAGCTGGTTTAAATACATGGAGCCGATGGGGCTGATGTGTTGGCAGGCACGCAGGCTTCCTTTCAAAACAGAGAAGCCGAATGCTGTTGAGCATGTAGGCTTCCATTCAAACAGAGAAGGCAAACGTAGTTCCAGAGTCTCCTAAACCAACAGATGCTCCGAACCACTTATTAGCCTTGAGTTACGCGTCCTCGTATCGACATCCAACTCTTTTCTAGGCAACTGAGCTCTAAAATGTCGCTGCTTTTCCAAGATCAAGAAAGGAGGAATCAGGAAATTGGTAAACCAGCATTCGGGGACCTTAAGACGAGCTGGCATCGATGGGTTAATACCACTAAATCACTGTGCCGGATTCTTGTTATTCAATAACCGTATTCCGTTCTATGTTAGCGGGCCCGGCTGCTTTTACCACCACGTTTTTCGGTTTTCACGACCGCTTCTTGTTTCTCGTTCCCCATTTCTGCAGCATCCACACAACATTTAGTTTCTGGTTTCTAGTCCCTGGACTGTTGGGCGTCCCTGGTGGGTTTCCGATTCTGGGATTTATCGCCAAGATCTCGAAGTGCTCATTCATTACCTGTGGGTAGGCTGCGCACTACTCGCTCAATACTCGGCTCACTCGCTCAGTGGGTTACTCAGCTGGGTGAGTAGCTGAACCTTTTACTCGACTCGGTGAGTGAGGTCAATACTCAGTTACTCTGTAAAAACCCGGTGAGTACTCGGCTATCACGTGTAAGATTTATGCATCATGTGAACAGTCCCTCATACGATTAATACTGTTTTATGGTTAAGTTAAAGTATTACATCTATTAGCATCACTCTCGCCATCTCTAGTAAGCTGTGAGAACGAATCATGTATATTCCTCTATCTAAGTACCATGATTATCAGAAGATTATTAGAACGCTATTATCTATTATATATGCTTAAGAACATCCCTCCACCTTGCTTGATGAGGCCGGCCAGACCTACTAATACCTAAAGTATTTATAGGGTCTTGATGAGGATCCTCGACTGAGCGGAACGAGCTATGGAGTCAAGATAACTGTGTATAGAACTTGTTCATAAAATGTCTCTTGTGTGAGAATATGATCTTATTATAGGTATTAACCTACATAATTCTGGTAATAATCTGGTAATCCTTACTTGTTGAGGTTGCATTTGATTGATTCGCATTTGATAGAGACTATCCTTCCATCTGTGACTTCTTTTTGCAAATGTCTGATGCAAGATGTGTTGCCATAGACTTTGGGCCAGCAGACTTGATTGCAGGATGCGTAAGGGCCTTCGAACAATAAGTACAAATAACACATGGTTCTCCAGAAAGCCAGTCTGCTCCTTGGTGATAACTTCTCCAGTATTGAGAACTCCAGTTGGTTGAATCCCATGCAATCTTCATCAGGAGTTTTGTAGTATGATCTGAGTGTTGTTCATACCATCGTGATAGCTTCCACCACTCAATGAATATATCGTGTGTATCCTTAGTCCATTTGACGAATTGGTTTAACTTGCCAATATATTCAAGGCCTGCAGGGACTTTGTAAGGATGCCTGTCCCTCAGTGATGGAAAGGATCTGAGTCGGGCAGTTATGGTCACATGATAAGAGTTAAGGCAGGTTAGCTGAGTCGGACCCGTTTCGGGTACTTAAGGAGATTGACCCAACGGGGGTTCCTCTCTTCATCTTTTTTGTATCCTTCATAGTAGACCTATAGGATAGCATCCGTTTAGCCTCTGACTCGCACTCTCATATGCTATTACTGTGAGCTGGGTGCCCTGTGTCCTTACAGACTTGATTTAATGAGGATAGTCGTTGAGAAGACGGAAAAGAGTCTGAGAATACTGTCAGAATCAAACAACTCTGAGTATTGAGATGGCATTTGGCAAATTGCTCGATTATCAGAAGGTTACCAGAAGTCTGGCTACGATGAAGTACTTAAATACCTGGTTTTCCAACGCGAAAGGTACTCCCAGCGCTATAACTTTAGCAACTCAAGTTCTCCTCTACTCTAGCTCCAGGAACAACATATCCTGTGCAGCTGATACCTTAGCCCACTTTTCCTTATCAAACTTCTTAGAGTAGACAAGTAAGAACGCCTCTTTGAAGCTAGAAACTATGAGTGGATATTTGCAACCATCCATTGTCGACAAGATTGTAAGACTTTGGATACCACTGCACAGGTCCTGGTAATTAGGCCCACTTTCCAAACTGCCTGCTCGTACAAACAGAAATATTTATGTGGTGGGATAACCTCGTGAAAAGTGCTATAATAAACAATTAGTATTGCCAGAAGATTGCTAGGATTGATCAGAGACGTACCCTTCCTCTACATCAATCCACGGCAATATACTCAAAGAGACGCTCAGGCTTCTTTCTCAGCTTTCCAGCCTTTCTCGTATATGAGTGGATACAGCTATCCCAGAAATGTTGCCACTTGCGGAAATTGAACTCTTCATGGGCCTATCAACTATTAGTATCACCAGAAGATTACCAGATTATGAGGTAGCATACATCAATGTGTGCTTGAGTTAAGAGAGCCTGGGTGCTAGTGATCTCTTCATCGGAAAGCTCATCTGGTAGAACAGCCTCGTCATTTAAAATATCTCGCGCTGTAACATAAGCTCCAACTCCAAATCGTCTCCAACCTCAGTATCCTCTCATTCGCTGTTATGATTGTCATCGATTGGAATACTTGAGATACCCTCAAATGCAGCAAGCTCAGACAGAAGTGTTTGGGCGGAGTAGATGGTGGGGCTTGTGGAGAAGAAGAGGCGCTAATATTCTTGACTTTCTGATTCGCAATGCAAGATGCATGGGTACCCTTCTCAGTCCTGTTTATAGTTAGATTGAGGCTACCAGAGATTACCAGAAGGAACTTACCGAACACAAATACGCTCAACCTTCAATTCATTCTGTAGACGTGTCTTGTCTTCAGTAGAGGCAGCGATATACTTTG